CAGGAAGTTCGCACAGTCAAGACGTTCTGTGCGCATTTCACAGTGACCACGAAGGAGAAAGTCCATTCCCACCCTACATGGGTTTTTTCCCCAGCTGAATAAATGTGTAAAGACTTTAGAGGCTCCAGAGGGATGCTACGGGCTGTTCTGGGATGCTTTAAAAGTGTTGTTTCAATGTGCCCTCTGTTCTGAAACTCAAATAGACTAATCCGCACTGGCTACCATTCTTGTTAGCTCCAAAGAACAAGAACAAATGTGAGTTGGTCCTTTTTTATTCTGGTATCCACCTTGCCCTACATTTATTCTTAATTTCTTTTATGAAGCTACCCAAAACTCCTGAGCAAAATGTTACATTACAAACCCTGTGGGCATCCTACAGCATCTTAGGAAGATGGAAATACTGCCTCCTTATGATAGTGTTGAAGATCTCTAGTATTTCCCTAATTTCGATGACTTCCTCAATCAAGTTATTAATATTCTGATTCTATTATAAGAATGATTAAATAATCAATAATTAAAAATTTTCTTGGTTCTAATCTTAATATTGAAGTGGTAGAAAATGAAATGAATGTGGGGGCCCTGGAAGAGCAGCAGGTTAAACTGCTGAGCTTGCTAACCGAAAGGTTAGTAGTTCGAATCTGGGGAGCGGGGTGAGTTCCCACTGTTAGCCCCAGCTTCATTTACACTGCAGAATGTACTGCCAACCTAGCAGTTCAAAAACATGTAAATATGAGTAGATCAATAGGCACCGCTTCTGCAGGCATGTAACGGCGCTCATGCAGTCATACTGGCCAGATGACCTTGGAGGTGTCTACGGACAACGCCGGCTCTTCAGCTTAGAAATGGAGATGAGCATCACCTCCTAGAGTTGGACACAACTAAACTTAATGTCAAGGGGAAACCTTTATCTTTACCTTGAAAAGGACAGAGATACAATGACAACTTCAGAACTTTTAATACAGCCAAAGTGAAACACAAAAATATATTTTAAAATGAGCTTGCAAATAACTAGACGCTTTGTGCTTTCTGTCCAAACAGGTAGATCAACAAATATAAGTCACTTTCTTAAAGTGCATTTTATATTTATCACATGAAAGTTATATATTTCTGAAAGAAGCCATGTACATTGTAACACAAGGAAAAATACATTAAACTATTTGATTTCCCTTTGTTTTTTTTTAAAAAAAGAAGTTTTCACACAAAATATTTTGTCGTATACACATTAAAACTCCAACATAGTATTCTCAAAACTACTGGCTAAAACTGGTTTGAGAACACCAATGTTTTTATACATGTATTTTATATATCTGTTCACTTACAAACAAACACACAGACACACCCAATCCAGCTTTGATACTCAAGACAGTTTGCATGGCAAGCCTATTTGCCTCAAGGCTCCATGAAAATGATTTCTATCATAAATATTTCATCCCTTTTACACGTCATTTTACAAGTATGTACATCTCTTACTCAAAGATCCTGCAACAAAATGGTGTCCGGGATGAGCTGCTAAATCCAATTGCTTGTCCCAAGTAAAGAAGACCCAGTGAATCAATGAGATATGCACCACAAATTATTCAGAAATTGATTCTATGGGGAATACTTTAGTTGGAAGCAAAGCCTTGTTGCTACTGTGCTATGTTTCCATAGCAGAAACAATGAAGGCAATCGCTAGTGCTGGAAGGCTCACTTCCTTTTTTAATGGATCGTAAAAGGACACCGGCCTGCAGAAGGCAGAAGACGAAATCATTTTAGTGCAAGTATATTTAATGGAATCATCTGTGTTCGACTTGTAACAAGTACATCATAATAAAATCAATCCAAAAGATTTGCTTTTGAAACTTCAGATATCTAGTTCTGTAAGAACTGCTTTCAGTCGAGCTCTTCACAATCTTCTACTGCTGATAGGAAGAAGTTGCATAGGAATTTTCTTCATCGTCCTCCCTGCTGAGGAAAAAATACATCTATCAAAATATGCAGACATGTCTAAAATTTGCTTCACAGCTCTTCAATCGTGGTTCAAGTAAACGAGTTCAATGTTGCAGCCTGAAATGCTGCCCAATGTCTGAGCCGCTCTGGGCCAGAGTGAAGAGAGAGGGGGCCAGGGGACAGTTCCATCTTGTCTCCTGCATATGTCATCA